TGTACACCAGGCAAGCACTGCAGCTGAGATGCGTCCCCAGGCCTGAGTTCTAGTTAGTTTTACTAAGTACTGGTCGGGCACAATGATTGCTGCTGGGGGACAGATACAGATGAATGAGTCTTGTTACCCTGCTTTCAAGGTATTAAACAATACAGATACTAACTATGCACCTGCTCCTTTATGTGATTATGTGTGCTCAAGCACACACAGACACATAGACACACGCACACACACTACAAATACAAGGCTCTGGGAATATAGTTTAGTTGGTAGAGTGCTAGTCTAACATGCAAGGAGCTCTGGGCTTAATTCCCAAGTTATGATGTCTCACATGTGTTATCCCAGGAGATTGAGACATGAGGATTAGGATTTCAGGCCATCATTCTGCTACATAGTACTATTAGGTACATCAGCCCATATCACAGCCAGTCAGAATCTATTTAAAAGAAAAACGGAGAGACAGGGGCCTGGAGAGATGGCCCAGCAGTTAAGAGCACTGGTTGATTTGTTAGAGGACTTAGTGTCGATTTCCTAGACCCACAGAGCAGCTCACAGTTGTCTGTTACTCCAATACACTCTTCATCCTCCCCAAGCACCAAGTACACATGTGGTACACAGACACACATGCAGGTAAGATACCTATACATATAAAATAATAGGGTAAAAAAGTAAGTTAAAGATAAGTTAAATGTAAAAAATACAAGGACAGACCCCTAGTATAAATTTACTATGCTGAATGCTATAATAAATACACAGAGCACAGCAAACACAGAAGGATGACTGTTCGCTGCATTTCCTGTTCAGGGGCCTGTGGCAAAAGAACTGAGTGGATTGCCATCCGGACCGTCTATTGGATCAGGCCCACCTCCTCCCCCACCGGGCCCACCTCCTCCCCCAGTCCCTACCAGTTCCAGCTCTGACGACTCTGCTTCCCGCTCAGCACTGTTTGCACAGATTAATCAGGGGGAGAGCATCACACATGGTGAGTTTTTGGCAGAAGCAGTTGTTAAAGCAAATTTTTTGGATTAAACTTCATCAACCAGACACAGCAGCCAGTCTAAACCAGAACCCTGGCTTGCATATGGGAATATTCGTTTGGGGGTGCCACTTGCCTTTAACTTACCAGAGGGACATTAAACTTGAGTTGTGATTGAAGGGCCAGTGAGATGGCTCAGTAGGTAAAGGTGCTTGTAGCACAAGCGTGGTAATCAATCCCTAGGGCCCACAGAAATGAAAAGAGGACTCACTGTTGAGTTGTCCGTTCACCCTCACAGTCACACTGTAGATGAGTCCCTCCTACCACAGTAATAATTCTTAATAGAAGAGCAGCTGGCTCAGTGGGTAAAGGAGCTCGCCACAAGCCTGAGTGATGATTCGAGTGTGACCCCTGGTGGACTACCTTCTCCCCCCTATAATAACTGCAAAAGGGAAAGTAGAAATTGGACATGGACAGTGACAGTGGAAGTCATTAAGTAGCCAACTCAATGCTGGCAGTTTTCCCGGAGCCTCTGCCACATAGCAAGTACCACATGGTCTCTGAAGTCACTGTGTTGAGATGCTAACTTCTCAGAGGGCCTCTCAAGAGTTTGAGTTCTTGAGGTTTCTGCTAAGGACTAGTGATAGCAGATCTTGCTTATTGCCTCAGCCCAAAGCTCTGGTGTGAAGAACAGGAGCAAGGTAGCTTTTGTGTGTTCTTACAGCCCTGAAACATGTATCTGATGACATGAAGACTCACAAGAACCCTGCCCTGAAAGCTCAGAGTGGTCCGGTTCGGAGTGGCCCCAAACCATTCTCTGCACCGAAACCCCAAACCAGCCCCTCCCCCAAACCAGCCACAAAGAAGGAGCCGGCTCTGCTGGAACTGGAAGGCAAGAAGTGGAGAGTGGTGAGTTAAAGGGACTTGGACTTCTGGGAAGGGGGAATAGGAACAATGCTTTACTCAGGAGTTAGCTGAAGAGTGCAGGGTCTAGCTTATGTTAAGAGAACAAAGATTTAGAGAAGGTGTTGTTTTTGTTGATATGTGCTTTGTGGTAAGAATCTTGGGATTTGTCTTTTTCAGGAAAACCAGGAGAATGTTTCCAACCTAGTGATTGATGACACTGAGCTGAAGCAGGTGGCTTACATATACAAGTGTGTCAACACAACATTGCAAATCAAGGGCAAAATTAACTCCATTACAGTAGGTGAGTCTTCCTTGCTGCCCTAGGCAGGTTCCAACCTAGAGCCTGAGAGGGCTAGAGCCATTTCCCCCCTTTGTAAATTCCTACACTCTTGTCCTTTGCAGTTACACTGCTGACCTGCTTCCTTTCTTCTCCTAGATAATTGTAAGAAGCTTGGACTGGTGTTTGATGACGTGGTGGGCATTGTGGAGATAATCAATAGTAGAGATGTCAAAGTTCAGGTAACTCGATATCTTGGCTCCGCCTTTTGGTCCCTGAGGAATCAATTGAGACAGCAGACTCACAGATGTTCCTGGGAATCTGATTCTCCAAAGTCTGAAAGCTGAGCTGGTTTGGATGTGAAGAAGTTGGCTCTTTAAAGGAGCTCTCTCCAGGACCTTGCCTGGCCCACCCTTTTCTAATAGCTGTTGTGAGGCAGCGTAATCACTTAAAACAGTGAACATTCTCTCTACAGCTTAGTCTACCCTTACCTGTTGGAACTCAGTGGTTTTGGATTTCTCTACAGGTGATGGGGAAAGTGCCAACCATTTCCATTAACAAAACAGATGGCTGCCATGCTTACCTGAGCAAGAACTCCCTGGACTGTGAGATCGTCAGTGCCAAATCTTCCGAGATGAATGTCCTCATTCCTACAGAAGGCGGAGATTTTGTAAGCGTTCTCTCTCTCTCTCTCTCTCTCTCTCTCATTCCCCCACTTCCCAATTCCAGGCTGGCCTGGAGCTCATTGGTGATCCTCCTGCCTCTGCCTCCCAAGTGCTGGGATATAGCCATATAGCAGCTGTGTATTTGCTGCTGAAGATTGAACTCAGGGCTTTGTTGCATGCTAGGCAAGCACTCTTATCAACTAAGCTATATCCCTGAGGAATATGACATTAAAAATAAGAAGTAAGCCGGGCTTGTTGGTATATACCTGTATTCCCTGCACTCAGGAGGCTGAGGTAGGAGGAGTTTGAGTTTGAGACCAGCCTGGGTTATGTAGTTAGAATTTGTCTCTTGAAAGAGGGACCAAAGACTTCTTGTCTTGAATTAGAGAAAACTGTTTGATAGACATTTATAGGTAAATCCCAGCGGTGCACTCAGAAGCCAGGTGGTCCTGTGAAGGGGCTCCAAGGGGAGGGTCATTCCTGCCCCTCTTAGCTCACTAAGAATCAGAGTCCTGCCCCCATCAAGCTGGTGTCTAGGGCTGTCTAAGCCTGTCAGGGTTATAGATCACTAGAGTGAGCGCACAGCATGGCTGGGCTGCTGTCGTTTGTCCCACTCCGTCCTACACTGCTCTCAGGGTTAAGTGGAAGCCAAACATTGGCAGAAGTGTGACATAGAAATGGCCCCAGCTCATTGTATAAGCAGGATTCCATTGTGTTACCTCTTAGGTTTGTTGTGTTTTAGATTTTTTAAATGTGTTTGAGTGTTTTGTCTGCATTATGCAGTTATACCAATGAGGGACTGGTGCCTAAGGTCAGAAGAGCATCGGATCACATGGAACTGTAGTTGTGAGCCACCATGTGGGTGCTGGGAATCAAACCCAGGTCTTCTAAAGAGCAGCCAGTGCTCTTAACCGCTGAGCAATCTCCACCTCCATCAACTTATTACCTCTTTTTTGCAGAACGAGTTTCCAGTCCCTGAGCAGTTCAAGACCTTGTGGAATGGGCAGAAGTTGGTCACCACAGTGACGGAAATTGCTGGATAAGCGAATGCCAGTGGGTCCTGTGCCCTCTCCCTTCACAGCATGGGATACATCTGTATGGAGACGGTTCTTTTCTAGATTTCCTCTACCTTTCTGCTCTTAAACTGCTTCTCTGCTGAGAAGCCCAGCTACCTGCCTTCACTGAATATACCTCAGGCTGAGATTGGGGCGGGATAGCAGGTCAGTGGATCTTCGGCGGGAAGGTGCAGCTAGCTGCTCTGTATGGCGCAGCTGTACCACAGTCCGTGCTTAAGAGCTGCGGGCCCAGACTGGGGCACTGAAGCTTTCAGCTTTGGGGGTCATTCTACCAACAAACAGTCCTTGTGGGGTGGGGGGAAACGTCCTGGAAACACACAGAACAGAATGCATGCTAATCTAACATGGAACATGGAGGAAGTAGGAGCCAGTGTGACTCCATAAGGCTCTAACCAACCTAAATTTCCATTGTTGAGAAGTGAGTTGCACTGGACCAAAGGCTAAGGCTTGCCACTTAGCATTCCAAGCAGACTTGTTTCCTAAAAGCATTCCTTCATTTTGCATTCCATCCTGGGTCAGCCTCAACCACAAAGTGGTAGGCTGTCCACTCTCAGCTGCAGTAGCAGTACCCTTTTTGAGAAAAAAGTCTCCCCTCTCCCCCATGACTACCTTGGTTCCCATGGAGACAACTTTAAAAAAAAAAAAAAAAAAAAAAAAAAAAAAAAAAAAGGAAAAAGCAACCACCATTCCAAGGAGTCTGGTGTTCCTGTTCCCTGCCAGATGCCTGTCATCACTCTGCTCCTGCTCGTGCTCAGCATAGGGCCTCACTGCAGGCACCTGGGCAGGACTAAGACCTCCACTGCGGGCTGTCCAGGTCTTCATTTACATACAAATATTGCACAGCATTGCGATGGTATCCCAGCTCTCCCTCTAGGACACACTGACCAAAATATGCAACTTTTTTTTTTTTGTTTGTTTGTTTGGTTTTTGGTGGGAAGAGAGATTGTCCTGTGACTTCTGCCCATTTCCCGAGGCCTGTGGAAATAAACCTTTATGTACTTAAAGTTATACAGAAAATAGAATAAAGTTAATACCAAACTTGTTCAGTTATTCAGCTGATCTGTACTGAGATGTAAAAATACTGAGAATGACACCAAGGGTAAGAAACTACTCTTTATTTTAGACAGCCATGTAAAGTTATTTTCACATCCTCCTACTTCCTGCCCTTAACCCTCATCTTTTTATTTGAAGAGTAGATTTGAGAAAAGGGAAAACTGGCAAGGGGTGGATTCTGAAGCACGAACAGGGTGCCTGCATGAACACAGTCATTTCTCCAGACTAGACGGGAATCATTCAGAAAGCGCTGCTGTCGCAGCGTGGGTGCTAGAGGGTCCAGGCTCAAACAGCACAGGAAGTGGTGGGCCGGTGTTTCAACCATCAGAGTCGGCAGTCATAGTGTGGCCTGCTCTCCAGAGGGAAAAGGAAGTCTGTACTCTGCAATCACTGTCTTGAATTAAATCAGCAGCAGCTTGGAGTGTGCTGGTAAGTAGGATTTGGGGTGGAAGTGTGTTTAAAAGTTCCATCTTTTCACACCGTTCCATCTGCAATGGTGTAAGTGACAGTAGAGTGACAGGAACGGTCAGCATCTGGTGCTTGCTTCTACCCTACTGCCCCACTATGTCAGAGTATGTAAAACACACACTGCTATAGGTGTGGCACATGCCTTTAATCCCAGCACTCAGAAGGCGGGGCATCTCTGTGAGTTCAAGGTCAGTCTGCTCTACATAGTGAGTTCCAGCCAGCTAGGGCTATAAAGTGAGACCTTGTCCCCCCTCCCCCCCAAAAAAGTGCATTTCTTCTCTAAGCAACCCTGCTGGCTGTTCACTACTTTGGTGACTGATTTTATTACTTAGGATATAAGGTGAATTCTAATGGGGGCATGACAGTGGGCCTGTGGAGTGACTGTAGGTGCCACCAGAAGGCAACACTTAATAGGAAACCAGCCTTAGGAAATGATGCAGAAACATCAGGCAGGTGATGCTGTCCGAGCACTGCTCACAGCAGCAGTGCTGAGAAAGTGCTTGTGTGAGCGCCTCAGGACTGGGTACCAGCAGGCTTTTATTTGCTCCAAATTTGTGGGGTTTTGCCATCAGTGCCTGTCTCCCTGCTTCGTTTTCTTGTATCCTCCGGGCACAATCATTGTACCACAACAGCAGACTCCTTTCTCAAGGGGAAGCTTGACCATATCACAAGGTCGTAAAACAATCTCCATGGTTATTAGCTAATTAAATTTGAACTCAACACCATATGGTAATAGGAGGCGGCAAAGGATAAGATTCAGATCTTAGATCTTTCCAAGTAGGGCATGTTAGATAACAGGAGAGAAAGAACTGCTTGCAAGTTGATTAGAGTTCAGGGTTGGGCATGGAGAGCTGTTTACACGCTTTGGAAGAGCTGGAGTTTCCTGAGCTCTGCTGCAAAGTGCAAGGGCTTCACTTAAGAAAAGGGATGATGTGGGCATTAAACCATTCTTTAGACAGTTGAAGATGGTCCCCTTCCTTAGCCAGAAACACTAGCTTTCCTGCTTTGTCCATTTGCTTTAGCCCCAGGCGGTCCTGTAGAGAGAAAAGCCAGAGTGAACTCAAGAGGCTTAATGGAAGGTTTTAGACTAAAACAGAATGTGTACAACGTTTAGTCTCAAAATACTTTCCCCTCGGTGTTAAAATAGAGAGGTGTATTGTTGGGAGGGGGGGGTTACCTCCTTTCAGGCTTTTTTCCTGACACACAGCCTTGTTTTGTAACCCTGGCTGGTCCTGACCTGGCAGCACTCCTCCTTGCCCCAGCCTCCTGAGCCTGGTTAGCATGTGCCTGGCTCCTTCAGCTGCTTCTGAGCTTTCAAAATATATGGGTAAGGCCAGCATGGTGGCACACCTCCTTAATTCCACCATTCAGGAGCCAGAGGGAGAGGCAGGTGGATCTCTATGAGTTCAAGGCCAGCTGGGTCAAAGAGTTCGAGGACAGCCAGGACTACATACAGGGATTCTGTCTTTCTGAGACTGTTCTGGTTCTGCCCCACTCCCAACACCTGCAAGATGCGAGACATAAACCCAGGACCTGGCCCCGAGCTGCGCTCTAGTCAATTCTGAAACACAGCTGGGCAAGTCACAGGCAAACCTGGCACAGAACACCATTGTGAAGTGGGGCTGAGCCAAAGATGGGAGAAAATTGGCCGAATGTTTTCCAGATACAACATTCCAATTCTTAGGATAATGAACTCAGGACCTGTTAGTTTCTTGCAGTTACAGTGTCCTTCCCCAATAGCCAGGCTGTCCGTCTCTTGTTGGGAAGAGAAGATCTAGCAGCAGAACAAGTCACTGCTTTGTCTGTCTACCCCAGGTTTGAGTTTCATGATAAGGAAAATTTTGGCTATAATTTCCAAAGCTGACAGAAATTAGCTTCCCTTTATTTCTACCCCACCCAAATTGGGCCACCATATGTATGAGAAAAGCAGAGGAAAATATGCCTCTGAAATTGAAAAATTAGTAAAAGGTGGTTCAGGTGTAGTACTTGGACATTTGTATATAAAGTATACATTCTTTAGATTGTGGCAAGCCATAACTGGATGTGGTTAAAAGACAAAAAAGTAAAGTTAAAGAAACCCCCCCACTTGAAATGAAGGACAGACTAACCTGGAAAGCTAACCCAGACCAATATCTGTTCCTTGGAATTTGCTAACTTCCCCTCACAAGGCCCTGAGATAACAAGATACCAAGAATTCACAATGCCCCTCCTTTTTTGTGAGTCAGCAGGTGGTGAATAGGGTCCTTAAGAAAGAGATAACTGTACCTCTGGTTTGCCCAGACAAGATTAATTAGCACACCCTGAGACCCTAAGGTCTGTTGACCCTAATAGCAAGACCATCCAGCCTCAAAGGGTCATCTACTCGATGGACAGAGGGTCACACCCCCTCCCTAAGCTTGTGGGTTTTGCCTTTAAAAAACATCTGTGCCCGGGGGATGGGGTTTCTCTCTAGCCTGCGTGCTAAGGGAGCCCATTTGCACAAACGTTTCCTGTTCATTAAAGCCTCTTGCATGTTGCAGCAACTGGACTGGACATTGAGTTCTTGGGGGTACTGACCAAAACTAGGAGACTCCTCATTCTGAGAGTCTTAACATTTTGGAGGTCCCACCGAGATCTGGTCCACCCCCAGACTCAATTCCATTGCCAGTTGGAGGTAAGATAGAGCTCGCAGCCTATATGTTTGATGTATGTCTGATGTGTCTGATGTTATGAGTATTTGAATCTGTGCCGGGCCTGCACAGAACTTGTATTTGGTATAGGACCACAGGGGGAGACAGAGAAACAGGACCTGCTGTTAAACAGCATCCAGAAGAGCCCAGGCTCAGATCTTAGAGTACAGTAGCATGACACCTCACCTTTGTCTGCATTTACTTAAAGGCTTTTAGGATTTGTAGTGAACTGCAAAGGAAACCAGGCTCCAAACCTTTTCTTCAAAATACAACCTTAGAGATGGTGTGATGGGAGATGTCATTCTGTATGTTTCTCATACTGGTTAATGAATAAAGCACTGTTGGCCAACAGGAAAGGAAGATAGGAGGGACTAGGAGACAAGGAGGAAAGAGGAAGGAGAAAGGGGAGCCAAGATGGAGAGCCTGGAGAAAGCAGTATGCTGGCCGGCTCCCCGGTAAGAGAAATACATAGATCAGCAGAAATGGGTTAATACTTAAGACAGAGCTAGCCGATAAGAAACAAGTACCGGGCCAATAACATTATATCTAATACAGAGTCTGTGTTATTTGGGGCTGGCGCGGCGGCGGGACAAGACCAGGCTGAGGGCGGAAAAACCTGAACTCCTTATAATGGTGTCCCCTTTTATGTTCAGAAACCACCAGCTACAGGTCTTAGGATGCAGTAAATATCTATAAACCAGCACTTAGGAAGTTAGTGTGACAAGCAACAGCCCAATAAGACCTAAGTCAGACCGCTCTGGGACAGACAAGGCAGAGGTCTACCCTCAGGGAGCCCAGCAACTTCAGGAGCCAGGGCTGCCACAAACTCAACCTCCCAAGGCTGATCTCTCCCTCCCCGTTACCTCTGTGTATAGAGTGCTTTCCTGGAGGGGAATGGTTTCCTTAGCTTGGCCACTTCTGTAAAATCCAAACCACTGGAGGAGAGAAGAAAAATGGTCAGATTATCTATCCACCCAGCACACTTTTAAAATCATTTGACGCTGCCTAGTACCTAAAACTACCAGCAAAATGAACATTTTAATATATGCAACATAGCAAGCAAGAAGGAAGAATGGCAACAGGGTTTTTTGTTTTGGTGACCTGGAACTCACTTGGGTAGTCCAGGTTGGTCTGGACCTTGCAAACTTCTGTCTGAGCCTCCTGAATGCTAGAACTATAGGCATGCGGCATGACATAGGTTATATCTTGAGTCATCTCATTTTAAAGGTCAATCCCGAGGGATGAACTAGTAATCTTCAGTTTTCCATTTCCCTGTAACTTCTGCTTCCTTCCCTGACTGCCAATGAAAGCCCCTGTGCTGCCCTCGTCATTCACTGATAAATATACAAGCCCTTTTTCCAAGAAGCTGCCAGTCCAGCAGGGACAGAACCAGTTCATTGTTTAGCAGCGGGTCAGCAGACTTCTGAAAAGGCCAGGTACAGAATCATGTGGTTGTGGCTACTCGCCATTGTGATGCAAAGGGAGCAACTGAGTGTGAGAAATGGGACTTTCAATACCATAAAATATTTTGATTTTTTTTTTTTCCTCCAGTCACTTATACATGTAAACATTCTGAGCTTCTAGGCCACTCAAAAGTATGGTGAGATTTGTGATCTGATACTGAGCGAGGTTTCAGCTGAGGTTGGTAACTTCAAAAGCAGAAGCAGCTGGCGGCCCCTCACACCTGTCATCCTAGCGGATCCCTTCCAGTTCAAGGTCAGCTCGAGCAACAGACTGAGGACCCCACTAGAAGGAGGGAGCCAAATTCTGGGAGTAGAGATGGTGTCCTAGAAGAAGTGACATTGTATTTGGGCCTTGAGAGGAGTTTCATCAGGTGGAGAAGCCAGGGGAAAGCATTCAAAAGACTAAGTCATGGAAGAGACGCTCATGAACAGGCTTGGGGTTTATAAAAATGGGCTAGTGATTCTGAACCTCTTTTGGGACAGGGGACCTGATTAAAACTGTAGAGTGTAACCACATAATTTTACAGAAAATTCTGGGTGCAACTAAGAGATTGCAGCTGATTTCGCAGGTAAAGAGCTGGTGGGGAGAACAGGTGTGCCTAGGAAGCAGCTGCAGTTGGTACTATTAGTTTCCTACAGTCTCATGGCACACTGGCCTCAGGTCTCACCTCAGAGTCTACTGGGTCCACAATGGAATCGTTAAAGAATTTCACCATCACAAACTTGTTGAGGGCCATCAGGTTCTTCTTGTAGGACTCATTGACACACTGGAAGAAGAACAGATGGTACTGTAGGGTTGCTACTGTCACGTTCTGGCAGGGACTTAAAAGATCAGCCTTGATAACTGACATACATGTCACCAATCATGGGGTGGATTTTACCATGAGTTCTGTCCACATACTGTCTCTACTATCCACTTAGATCACAGGCCTCAAACCAAGGCAAAACAAACAGAATTCTGGGTTATTCTGCTATCTGTTCCTGACTCTTATGTTCTTTTATTGGCCCCTTCAACTTTTTTTTTTTTTCTTCAAACAACAGATATCTCCTACTTAGCCATCACATAAAATGAACCATTAATTTGAACAGAATGTCCTAAATCATGCTCATGCCTGGGCACAGTCCATCTGTGCACCTGAAGGCCCCACCAGGAAGACGTCCTTTGTGAAGACAGTAGCTGTGAATTCCCACTTTGCCCAGCAGGCCACCTACTGTAACTTCAACCTGCCGCTTCAACATGAAGGAAGCTGGAGGGCTTCAGGGAGGAGGAGGGCCAGATGAGTCCCGGCCCAGTTGCCCTAAAAGGAACTGAAACTCATGAATACTGCCTCTCACATACAAACCCCTTGGTTCCTGGCTTCTGCTTGGGTATTTTCCCTAAATGGTCACTGCTGATTTCTTTCTGATGGCCAGAAAGAAATGCCTAACCATGGGAGCATGGGAGCTTACCCTCTCTTGATTTATGTCTGCCAGGAAGATGCTGTGGTTGCGGTACACATCCTCCTTGATGGGGTCATGCCAGTACTGCGCCTGCACCAGGCTGAGGAAGAGAAGGGATGAGGTGCCTCTCAGTCAGCATGCCCACCCGCACATGCCTAGGCAACTAAGGGATGCCAAAAGGATGAAAGACCAAAGCCCCCAAGTTCCAGATGGGGTGACTTCGTAGACCTGTCAACAAGACATCTTACTGAGAGGAGGACAGGCCATTTGGCAGATACAGAAAGTCCAAATATTTGGAAATTTAGTGTCTGCCTCCCAAGTGCTGGGATTAAAGACATGCACCACCATCGCCAGCCCTTGGTTTCCTTCTAATCACGGTGGCCCAGGCTGTCCCTCCTCAGCCTCATCTCCTTCACTTTCCTTTACTTCTATTCATCCATAGGATTCAATAACCTTTGCTTCTTTGTCCCCATTATCCAGCTAAGAAAGATGAGGACCAGCACTTGGGAGGCAGAGACAGGCAGATCTCAGTGAGTTCAAGGCCAGCTTGGCTTACAGAGTGAGTTCTAGGACAGCCAGGACTGTTACACAGAGAAACCCTGTCTTGAAAAACCAAAAAAAAAAGTAAGCCAAGTATTGATAAATCTTTGGAATTTGGCCCTTGATAGACAGAGAATCTCTGCTAAATAGCTTATACTCTGCTTGTTTAACCTTGAAAATGACTCCCCAGGAAAGCATGTTACTAACCTCACTGTCAGAGGTTCAAAGTGCCCAGGGCCACACAGCTAGCTGATGACAGAATGCGGGCTCTCCAGTGACCCCCAGGAGGAGAGCATGGGAGAGTACCTCCTTTCCCTTTATTTTACTTCATTTCCCCTCATACTGGGTTGCTTCTTGGTACGGGCATACAGGACTCAAGGTCAGCAGACAAAGCTCTGCACCATTGCCCTCTGAGTAGCTGTGGTGCTGTAGGGAAAGATGTTGGCCCAGGATTTGAATTTAGCTGCATCTTAGTTGGGATCTATTTTCCACACCTAGTGCACTGCAGTATGGCTTTGTCTGTTTTTCTTGTGTTCATGCTCAGGTGTTTAGCAAGCCCTTTCAGTCTGGAAGCTCATGCTGCTAATGGCTTGGACATGTTGTGTTACTTCTTTAATTCCAATTCACCCTTCCTCTGCTTGGAAAGTCCCATTAGTCACATCAGGCATCCTAACTGCTTCTCTCTGTTCTCTTTTCTACCTCTGTTTTAGTTACTGCTGTATTGCTGTGAAAGGCAACATGACCAAGGCAATTTTATAAATGAATGCATTTATTTGGGGGCTTGCTTACAGTTTTAGAAGGTTGGCCCATTGTCATCTATGAGCAGAGCTTAGATAGGAGCTGATGAACAGGTGGCAGTGACTTCTCTTAGTCACTTCCTCCAGAGACAGACCCTACAAACTCTGCCTTGTATACAACAAGGTTAGCTCAAAGTCTGGGGCTGCCAGTTACACTGCAGGGAGTAGATTTGGCTTCTCCTGCCATGGTGGGGGGAAAGTAGCCTCCTGGATGTGCATGTCAGGGAACTGGCGAGTCAGACTGCTCCTGCCTCAGGTTTTCAATGAAAAGGTCCTAGTTTTGGCTCCGCACACTTACCAAAACCTCCCAAAGTACTATACACCCCTAGTTCCAAGCCTTTTTTGGGGTTCTAGAGCCCGGGTCACTGCAGTGTGCCTTCTACAGAGGTAAACCCTTCAACCTTTCTACTATACAACAGGTTTTACATCCTTCTGTTTGCTTTTCAAAAACATATATTAGCTCCTATTTCCTCTCATTTCTCCTTGCCCCAGTGAGTTTTATCTCTTTTAATAAAAGTCTTTTATTATCTATCTATCTATCTATCTATCTATCTATCTATCTATCTATGTACCTATCTATCTATCACCTGTATATCTATCTTATCTGTTTATTTACTTAAGACAGTCTTACTATGTCACCCTGACTGGCTTGGAACTCAAACAGAGATCAGCCTGCCTCTGCCTTCTGAGTGCTGGGTTAAGTGTGTGCTACCACATCAGGCCTCATTTTTTTTTTTTTTTTTTTCTTTTCCTTTTTTTTTTTTTTTTTTTTTCCATTACAGAGTTTCTCTGTATTGCTTTGAAGCCTGTCCTGGAACTAGCTCTGTAGAACAGGCTAGCCTTGAACTCACAGAGATCCGCCTGCCTCTGCCTCCCGAGTGCTGGGATTAAAAGGCATGCGACACCAACACCTGGCTTAGGCCTCATATGTTTTAAGGACAATTTTCAAAAGATATTTATTTATTTATATTTTTATGTATATAGGTGTTTTATTGGCATATATGCCTGTGCACCACAGGCAGGCAGTGCCCCCCACAGGCCATAAGAGGGCATAAGATCCCCTGAGACTAGAGTTATAAACAGCCGTGATATCACTAGCAATTACTCCTAGAATCACTGAGCATGAATGTCAGCAAGGTGCTCCCACAGTCTGCACCAGATAGCTAGCCACACTCACCGTTCTTGAACAACTTTGGAGTAAGCGCCAGCATTGATTGTTTTCCTGATGAAGTCACAGATGTGCGAGCTCTCTCCTGGGCATCGAGGGAGGCCGAAGACTCCTGTGTAGGTAAAAGATAACCTGCATTACTCCCATAATCATATATTGGATACGCACTAGACCAGGCACTGTAAAAACAAAATGACAAACAGCTTGAATCTGAACTCATTCAGTTACTCAACAAAACAAAAAAGCTCAAGTACTGTGAACTAACACCACTACCAACTTCCTCCTGGCACTGCCCCAGGGACCTCTGCCTCAGCCCCACCCACATGTGGCTGCTACATACAGCACATGACTGCCTCATCCGCTTTCTTGGGAAATCATCTGGCTTCCTGTCCCCATCCCCTTCCCATGTGATACTTTTCATCCATGCAACCCCCTCCTTTAAATCCTGTGTAAATTACTTTTGACACTTAATAAGTGTAACTGTTCTATGGATTGCCATTACACTGAGAATAGTCTTTATATGTTCAGTACAGATTCCAGTTTCCTCCATCCTCCCTCCCCACCCATCCCTCTCTCTTTTAATGAAGACAGGTAGGGTCTACTATAGCCCAGGTTGAACTCAAACTCTCTGAGGATGATCTTCCTGACCTCACTCCCTAAATGCTGGGATTCTAGGCACACACAACCACCATGGCCTTTCCCAGAAGAGTCCCATGGATCTTTGAGTCCACAAATATGGAACTCATAGATTCAGAAGGCCAAATGTGTGCTGGGGTACAGCCCTGTGGTAGAGTTTTTGCCTTTTATGTGGACACCCTGGGTTTTATCCCCAGCAACACACACACACACACACACACACACACACACACACACACACACACACAGAGACACAGCACACACACACATGCACACACATGCCATCTCTGCATGCCCAGGTCTTGCTCTGGATATGTGACTTTGACACCTGCTTTTTCCTGATAAGACAGCTTTCAGCCCTGATCACAGGAGCTTCTCTCTGTAGCAAATAGACACTGCTACAGAAACCCACAACAGGTCAGATACAGAGGACAACTGATCGTGAGGTGTTCAACTGTAACTGATACATCTACACACCCAGGGCTCAGAAGACCAGCACAGCTGCTGTTGAGAGAATGTCATCTATATATGACAGGGATTCTACACCCATGAAATCTCAGCAATACAGTCACCTAAACAAGACCTGCATAATGACAAGACCAGTTGACATGCCAGTGCAGGTGGGAGAAATCACGCATGGCCCCACCCCTAGATGAATAACTTTAAGCAATTAATGATGGCGGAGAGTAGGAAAACAGTCTTCAGGGATGAGTCCCTGGTAGGTTATCCAGCCCCAAGTGGTCATATACATATGAGCAACACTAAATGGACTTAGCAGTTTACACACACACACACACACACACACACACACACAAACACAAGGGTGCCAGGTGTGGTGGCACATGCCTATGATCTCAGTACCCAGGTAGCTAAAACAGAATTGCTAAGAGTTTGAGGCCCGCCTAGGCTACCAAACAAGACCTTATCTAAAAAGGAGGCGGAAGAGGAGGCGGAAAAACAATAAAAAGAAAGACACACAGACAGGAAGGAAGGAAAAAAAAAAAGAAAAAAGAAAAAGAAAAAGCAAGAAAAAAGAAACACAAAACACCAGATAGACATGGTTAGAAAAGAGGAAGAGAACCATGGGGATAAGGGTGACCATTACCTTGATGTTGTCCCCCAACTGAGATCAGGTTGATCATGGGAGGTGACGGGCATCTCTGGGCCACTGCCCTCCTGGAGAAATCAAAGGTGGCTGTCAGCCCTGATGGTCTGATTGGAATGTATCAACAGTTACTTCACACATTAAGCTATTTAATACACATGGGTCCCAAAACCACAGAGTCACAGGATCTTCCCCCTGGCTGAATACAAATCTTATTTCACAGAAAAGAAATCAAGAGGAGCTGGGAAGATGGCTCAGTCAGTGATAACCATAAAGAGTTTGGGTTACATCATCCCCCTTAAAAAAAAAAGAAAAAAAAGAAGTTGGGCAGAGGTGGCATATGCCTTTTATCTCAGCACTTGGGAGGCGGGAGAGGCAGGAGGATCTCTGTGAGTTCGAGGCCAGCTTGGTCTACAAAGTGAGTTCCAGGACAGCCAAGGCCACACAGAGAAACCCTGTCTTGAAAAACAAAAGCAAAAAGGAAAGAAAGAAAAGAAAAAGCCAGGCACAGCAGTTCCAGTAATAACAGCATTGGAGAGGTAGAGGCAGAGGGTCCCTGAGGCTGGTCAATCAGCCAGTCCAGCTCAATACTGAGCTCCAGGTTCATGGAAAGACCTTTTCTCAACAACAACAACAACACTGTTCAGTGAGATGGAATTGGGTTAAGCACTCACTGCCAAGCCTGATAACTGGAGTTGATTCCTGGGCCTCCCATACTGGAAGAGGGAACCTGATTGATTCCTCAAAGCTGTCTGTTTTCTGACCTACACACATACATGCATGGGCTCATGCGTGTGCATGTGTACACACACACACAGAGTAAATATAGTTTAAACATTTTTTAAGTTAAAATAGGATACTGGAGAGGTGTCTCAGTGGTGAAGAGTTCTTACTGCTCTTGCGAAGAACTCAGGCTTAGCTCCCACCACAATAACATAACTCAGTGTGAAGTGATCTCATGCCCTTCCTGGCCTCTCTGGGCACTGTACTTATATAACCCAACCCAATACATTCATAATTAATAAAAAAATAAATAAAATCTTTATAATTTTTTTTTTCTAAAAAAGTAAGGTGGAACCAGGGGTTGGTAGGAAAACACCTTTAATCCCAGCACTCGGGAGGCAGAGGTGGGTGGATCTCTGTGAGTTCAAAGTCAGCCTGGTCTACAGAGCTAGTTCTAGGACAGGCTCCAAAACAATACAGAGATACCCTGCCCCGAAAAACAAACAAAAAACAAAACAAAACAAACAAACAAAAAAGTAAGGTGGGGACTTGAGGAATACACCACACATTGACCCTTCCACATACATGCTCACACATGTGCACACACAGAGAAAAAAAAGAAATTAAGTTCCACAAAGCTTACACAGTGACATTTTAAGACTAACTTTCTTTCTGTGAGAGGGGAGGGAGGGCACCACATAATCACAGCCAATTGATTAAACAGAAGAAACATTAATTCCATGTGAGCAGTGCCATGAGGATACTTACAGAAACTGGCCTCCCTGGGAAAAGCCAATAGCGTTGTACCCCTGCTGCAATTTAGGATCCTTTTCCAGAATCTGACACACTATCGTTACTTGGGAATTGACATTCAAGAAGAAGCTGTTCTCCACATCCTACAAAAAGGAGGAGTGAGCATGAAAGGAAGGAACTGTACATAAACAGCATCTTTTCTAAGGCAGGGGCTGACACAGGTGAATACCCTCACGGCCCCTAGAGTTCATGTGTTCGCTGAGCATGATGGAACAACCCTGAAGTCCAAGCACTTGTGAGGAAGAGGCAGGTTCCAGGCCAGCATGGGCTACATAGCAAAACCCTCCATCCCAAAACAAAATGAAACCAAACCAGTGGGGCTATGGCTTGCTGCTAAAAATAAATGCAAAGGGAAGTGTTCAAATGGCACGCTTGATCAAACCTGACAGCAAATCCTTCAGGGAAGGAGCTGCCGCCATCTTACCTCCATCATGTTCTTTCCAATCTCTAGAGACAGGACGTAAATTCCAGGTATTTCCTGTTCAACCATCTTTTTAATGGCACCCATGCTTATGGGGTTACAACAGCTGTCTCCTAGCCAAGGAAAACAATGACACAAATTCATGAATCAAAACATTATTTAAGAAACAAAAACCTTTTATGTCGCAAAGAGTGATAATCAAGAATGTCAAAGGGCAGCATACAGATTAGAGAGAATCTGGGAACAATGGCCTACTGCAGGGCTTCTCCAGCTTTCCCCACACAGCACCCTTCTCAACTTAGAAATGTTTATGGTACCTTGGCCATATGGGTGCACAAAGTATGTATACAAATCAGATATTTACTGGTAATCTCAAATGTAAACAGACATTTCTCTCCAGTCCTCCAGTTTAACCACTCAGAGGCTTATATTAATTACAAATGCTTGGCTGATAGCTCAGGCTTATTACCAACTAGCTCTTACATTGCAAGTTAACCTTCATTTCTTATTTACCCTCTGCCACATGGTGGTACCTTTATTAACATGGCACATTCATCTCCTGCTCCCTCTGTGTCTGCTGGCAACTCCTCCCACTCTGCCCTTGTTCCCAGAATTCTCTCTGTGTCAGGCTCTTACCCAAATTGCTTCCTGCCCAGCTATTGGCCAATCAGCTTTTCATTAACAATGAGAGCAATGCGCATTTAGAGTATACAAAGATTGTACCACAACACATAAAGAAATTTAAGATAATTCTTTGGCATATATGAAATTTTACCACTTATAAAAGGTGAAATTAATTTTACAAAATGATAAAATGTACTTTTTATATTTCCATAATCTAGGCACAGTGGGTCATCCTCTAAACCCAGCACTCAGGAGGCAAAACAAGTCAGATCTCTGTAAATTTGAGGCTAGTCTGGTCTACATGCTGAGTTCTAATCTAGACAGAGCTACATTGTGAGACCCTACCTTTAAATTAAAAAAGAACTGAGGGCCTCCAGGTGGTGGTGGTGAATGCATCTAATTCCAGTACTTTGGAGGCAGAGGCAGGTGGATCTCAGAGTTTGAGGCCAGCCTGGTCTAAAAAGTGAGTTCCAGGATAGCCAAGGCTACACAGAGAGATTTTGTCATAAACAAACAAACAGAAAAGAATTGAGTTCTGGCTGAATAGGTAATAATGCAAGACATAAAACATCCTTGATGTTTTTCATAGTCAATCAATCTTTTGATTTTATAATCATTAACACTGAAGCATTACTCACATAAATACATAGTACAAATACTAGAAGCATGCTTGTCCTAATCCCAAAACAAAATTCATTTACTGATATATATATATATATATGTCATTATATGTGTGTATATATACATACATACATATATATACATATATATATATATAAGTCAGCAACATAAACAGCAATTTTAAAGATTTCATTAATTTTTAACTGATGTGTATGAATGTTTGCATGTATGTATGTGCACCATGTATATGCCTGGTGCCTGGGGAGGCCAGAAGGTGTCAGCACCCCTCAAGGTGGAGTTGCAGGCAATTGTAAGCTATGATGGGAGTGCTGGGACCCAAACTGGGGTCTACTGATGAGCAGAAGTTCTCTTCACCACTAAGCCTGTTCAACAGCAATTTTAAAATTAATCATTGAAACATAGTATGACGGATAAACTGATTTGGTACTTAAATGTTTAAGAAAATATCAAGTCTTTGTTTCTGGCAATAAAACTACTATAAGAGCATAAGATGATGTATGTACAGTAAGAGCGCTGGGTTCGTAACACACAGCAGCCTGCAGACTGAGCAGTGTTTGAGGCAGTATTTTGTAGGTGTTCCTGGCAGGAAACATGCACATGTATTCTGTGTTCAGAACCAAGGCCCCAGTGGAGTAGGAGATGCAAACACTGTCAGAAACAACTTGATTCATTTCATCCTTGATTTGAATGAATTTTTGCTCACTGAGCATTCAAAATACTGTTGCCACGTTTTTCAAGATCCCCATATTTAGTTACATAATCTCATATGGAGTTCTGATCCAGCATGTTAAGAAGCCAGAAGCCAAAAGTTGACATGTCAGACTCCAGAAGGAGAGAAAACATTTTGTGGAACACGTATCTGAGTTCAGTGTCCAGATACACAAATGATTCTTACAATTCAACAAGGCACGTAATATAATTATGAAATGGGGGCAGGCTGGAGAGAGGGTTCAGCCATTGAGGCTGCTTGCTGCTTGAGGTGGGCTGGATAAGTTAGGCCCCCATAGACTCATATACTTGAGAGTTTAGTCAAGGTGTGGAACTCTTTGATAGGATTAGAGGGGAGTGGCCTTGTTGGAGGAAGTGTGTCATTGGAGGTGGTCTTGGAGATTTTAAAAGTCCATGCCAGGCACAGTCAGTCAGTCTCTCTCTCTCTCTGCTTGTGGATCAGGATGTAAGAGCTCTCAGATATTGCTCTGGCACCACGCATGCCACCATATTCCTCACCATGATGACAATGGACGAAACCTCTGAAACTGTAAGCAAGCTCCAATTAAATGCTTCTTTTTGTAAGAGTTGCCTTGGTCATGGTGTCTCTTCATAGCAGTAGAACAATTACCAAGATATTGTTCTTTCAGAGGACCCAAGTTTGGTTCCCAGCACTCATGTTGGATGGCTCACAAGCATGTGAACTCCAGATCCAGGAAATCTGATGCCCATCTGGCTTCCTTGGGCACCTACATGTACCTGACGTACACTCACATAGGCACACATATATACATAAAAATAAAAACAAATATTTTTTAAACAAAAGAAATGGAGATGCTAGAGAGAAGGATATGTAGTTAAGAGCACTTTCAGAGTTTCTGAACCACTTCAGTTCTGGTTCTGAATTCAGTTCTCAGAACTCATGTTAGCCACCTCACAACCACCTCTAACTCTATCCCCATGGGCACGCATACACATATGCTATCAAACACATACATACAAACTTTTAAAACACAAATTGGGAAAGGATGCAAAGACATTTCTCCAAGAAGATACAAACTGGTCAGCAGCATCACTGTTGATAAAATGTAGTTAAAACAGTGAAGGGTCAACTCATACCAACCTAGATTGCTTAAAAACAACTTATATTGTTGTTGAGGCAGGGTATTACTATATAAGCCTGGCTGGCCTAGAACTCCCCACACAGGTCAAGCTCGCCTCAAACGCAGAAATATCTGTCAACCTCTGCCTCTCCAGTGCTGGGATTAAGGATGTATACCACCACACCTGGCCAAAAAAAAAAAAAAAAAAAAAAAAGACATTTTAAAAATTAGAACATAAGTGTTAGCAAGGACATTGGGAAATAGGTAAGCTTGTACCCTGTTGGTGGAACTCTACCAATTTAATCTCTGTTGGAAAGTATGGCAACAACTAAAACAATAAAAATAAAAAATTAAGCACATAATTATAAAATGACCCAGCAATTCCACTCCTACCTTTACACCCAAGAAAAAGGAAAACACACATCCAGATAAAACCTTTCACAAATGTTTACAGTAGTACTGTGGTAATAGCAAAATGTAGCAACAGGTCAAATGATCATTATTGAATAACCTGTGTTATAGTCACACAATGGAATACTATTCACCCATGAATAGGAATGAAGCATTGAAGCATGCTACAACCTGGATGAACCTCAATGCGTGTTCTGTAAAATAAACCCAAACAAAAGACAAATTGTCTAATCATTCACCTGTTCCGGCCAGAAAAGAAACCCCACAGCACAGAGAATAGGCAGAGGTTATCAGGAGTGAGAGGAGGGGAAGGAAACATTGACTTAATCCGTATGGAGGTTTTCCTGGGTGCTGATAAGTTCTGAAACTAGAGGGAAGTTGTGGTCGTCTCAGCTGGTGAACAGGCTCAATGACAATGAACTGTGCACTGAAAACGGTGGAGCTGATGTCACTTGGATTTCAGCAGGGACAGGTAAAAGACACTTCCAGCATGGCTCTGTCAGGTGCCACACATCTGTAACCTCGAGGACCAGGATGAAGGTCCATGAAATGCCCAAGGCACAAAATTTAATGAAACAGTCTCTGTGAGCTTTTGTTCTGGAATAATCTTTTTGTAGTTTGTGAAGATGTGTCTTTACCAAAGGATACAGAAAGGAATGAGGAAGTATAAGAAGAAAGTTAAAAAGTCACCAGGCAAAACATAGATTAATTTAAATGGGTTCATTTAAGTTATAAGAGCTAATGGGACAAACCTAAGCTATAGGCTGAGCTTTCATAATTATGAATAAGTCTCCATGTCATTTTTATTAATAAGTCTTCATGTCATTTTTTTTTGGTGAGCTGGTGGTCCAAAGGAAAATCCATCTACAAGGTTTGGGAAAAGGTTGACTTCTAACTTTTATAAATTGGGGGTGAGATCCTCAGTGCTTCACCCCAGCTCTGGGATTGTTTCCTTTCCCACAAAGACTCAGACCTAAGAACAAACTGACCACTGGATAGAGATGTGTCTGCTTTGCACTTAAGTCACAGCACTTCAGTTGGACAGGAAGTTTAAGGAGAAAACACTCTGCCCTAGAGAAGCTTCTATTTCTTTCCTAACAACATCCACCACATTGTAATGAGTAGGGACAAAAAAGGGGCGTTGACTAAATATCTAGTTCAATGATAACTTGGCCTACAAAAGATACTGTCTCGAAAATATCAAAGGAGCCCAGCCTACTTGCAAATGCCTGTAGTCCTAGCATGTGAGACGGGTAGGGGTAAGTTCAGAGGTTCAAAGTCATTCTTGGCTAGACAACAAATACAAATTCTGAGTTAGCCTGTGCTGTATGAAGCCTGGGCATACGTCTTTTGAGTAAAGACGCCTGCTGCCTAGGCTGACAATGGGAGTTTGATTCCTGGGACTCACACAGTGGAAGAGAGAACTGATCGCTGCAAATTGTCCTCTGACCTCCACATGTATGCAGTGGTGTGGGTGGCATCGCCCCCACAATAATAAAAAAAAGGGGCCCCCAAATTAGACAACATACCAAAGAAATAACAACATATCCTTCAAGTTCCCAAATTCAAACACATCATCTTTTTCTTTTGAGACAGGGTCTGGCTATCTACCTCAGCTGACCTGGAGCTATGACCCTACTCTTTCAACTTCCTGAAGGCCCCAAGTATCATTGTGTGTTACTCTGTTGGGTTTAAAAGAATTCTGACTACACATATACACCCCAAGTGTGCTCCCCTCCAAGCTACCCCATCTTTCGAATTGTTCAAGCCAAAAAGCGGTGGTGTCATCTCTGTCCCCTTCCTCTCTCACACCATAGCTAAGTCCCCAGATGCCACCCTCACGTATAGCAATGTTCCAGCACTTCCCCCATACTTCATGCTACCAAACATCCCTCACTGTACAGCTCTGAGCCACGGGCATCTCTAGGGTTTAAGGTACTGCAGTGTCCCTTTGCACCTCTCTGTGACACCTACAATCAATTCTCAGCCCAGCAACTCAAACAAAAATAAGGACCCAGTGGACTCTGCCCTTTAATCCATAAGTCCTGATCCCATAGAGCCTCTCTCCTCCCTTCTACAGTCCATGAAAGGTGCCTGGCTCTGCTCCCTCCTCACCTCATCACAGGAGGAAAGAACAACTGACTGTCCACAGGATAAAGTCAGGGGTCTCCAGGACAAACGGGCCACTGGGCTGAATCTTACACGGGGCCTCTCCTTAAGAGGAGTCTTCAAGAAAGCCAGTCTTCGCAGCTAGTGAATCCAAATCCCCAAAGACCCTGAGAATCGCCTGTTGTCCTCTCTGGGGACAAGCAGCCTGACTTCCCTGTGGTCACAGCTGACTCTGCTCCTCTGTCCCTTTCTTTCTAGTGACAGCTCCTCCCCAGAGCTCAGAGCCACAGCTTTGTGTCAGTGACCACTGGGAGGGTCTGAAGACCATCTAGTGTCACCAACAGAGCAACCCCTTCATTTGATTTTAACTTTAGCTTATTATTATTATTATAATTAGCAGCAGCAGCAGTAGCAGCAGTAGTATATCTTTCCATGTAGCTCTGGCTGACCTGAAACTTGCCATGTAGATCAGGCAGGTCGCAAACTTGCAGATATATCCTCCTGCCTCTACCTCCTGAGTGTTGGAGTTACAGGCTCCCACCACGTTGTGTTTTAACAGTCTTTTAAAAATGTAAGTTAGAGGGCTGGAGAGATGGCTCAGTGAGTGGTTTGTTCCTGCAGGGTATGTTCCCAGTACTAGAAAGACGGCTCACATTCCTCTTCTCTTGCTCCCTTTCTCCTGCTGCACTGACCTGGACATCACATGCTCAGCTCAGGGTCTTTCCCTCTGCTGTTCCTTTGACCACACATCCATATGACATCTTCCCTCTTCCCCTTAGGATCTGCTCAGCTGTCAGTCTGGGAGAATCCTTCCCTAATATCGCTCTCTACAAGCTCACACTCACACCTCCAGCTCTGTCTTCTTGCAGGCTTTCTGTCTGTCTCCACTGCACTCATCATCATTTGATACTTTCCCTTATTTCTTTATAGTATGCTTCCCCACTGCAAAGTAAGTTCCAGCAGGGAAGAGAATTCAGTCTGTGTCATGCTCTGGAGTGGTCGTGCTGTGTGGTAACTGTACAAAGAACATGCAGGTAACAGGTAACTGGTAGATCTCCATTCAGTGTGTGAAGGAACGAAAGCATGAGTGCTGCCCAACTCTCCGGGGACCAATGGCCAGACTGTCAGTTGCTGCTGGCTGATGCCATAGCTGCTAGGATTTTACCAAGGACAGCATAAACAGTAGCAGTGCACAGCTCTTCTAGAGCACTCACCAAAGACACCTGGGTCCCTCCCTTCCAGTGCAGAGGGCCCCCAAATCCCAACATCTAGGCCAGGCGGATGCTGTGGAATCACTGTCCTCGCCCTTCCAGCTCTGTGATGCGAACCCAGACAGGAAAAGGATGCCCCTCTCCACACTCACTCACCCATCCCATGCCAGATCACCAGCGGTGGCGGCGAAGGCGGATTCAGATGTCCCAGCGACCAGGCGGCACAACACCAGGGCAGAAGACTCACAGCCAGGAGCCACCGGGAACCGGGCGACGCCATCTTAGCCCAGTCACATGACCGCGCGCGCGCCCAGGATGGTGGCAATCCCGAGGCTTTGCAGGGTCGCCTGTGACCACGCCCCCACCGTCCGGCCACTGCCTGAGAACTGACATTTATCAAGTTCCTACCACAGCCCAGACGCTATTGTCCAACGGCTTTCCATCTTTTAATCGGTCTATGCCCTGGCCTCATTTTACACCCAAGGACACCCAGGTGACAGTTTTTTTTTCACGGAACTGAAGAGATGTCTATTCTCTAATAACTGTCTCATTTTTTACTTTATTTTTATTTTGTGTGTGGGCATTTATAGGTGTGTGTGGCCCGCATGCCACAGCGTATGTGTGCAGGTCAGAGGGTTTGCAGCAGTGGGTTCTGGCCTTTCAGTCTGTTTGTTCTGGGAATTGAACTCAGGTCAGCAGGCTTGGCTGTAGGAGCTTTTCCCAGAGGGGGGCTTTTATTTTAACACGTGAAAGTAGGTTGTTCTTACTGCCTTTGGAAAAAAGGCTCTGTCTTGGAACTACAGAAGGGAGACTTGATTTTCATCCACTGCTAGTTAGATCGTGGTGGGTTTTGTTAGGATTTTTCAGGAACGACAGGATTTCAACAGGCAAAGACGTGATTAGGGAAGAGGAAGTTATAGCTCCTGAAAGGAGAAAGGTATCTTAGAGATCCAGGCAGGGCTTCTAGACTGGTGTGGACTGTCAGGTGTGTTGGGTGTAGCCAGAAGATGGGGAAACACGGCCACTTCCTATCCAAGCTACACCCTGGTTTATAGCCAGAGGCTATTGCCCTCTTTGCCCTGACCTCTTTTCTGGCTTCCCCCAGTCCAGCTGCAGCATTTAAATAATGGGCTCAAACTTTTCTCCTTAGAGAAACACTGAAACTGTCAAGTAGAATATATCCAAGGTACAGTGGGACTCTGATGCCAACTTTATAAAGGATGAAGTAGTCTTACAGAGAGTGACATGGAAAATCTGGAAGAAAAACCGGTTGCACACCCACGTGAAACCCTTCAGTTCCACGCCGTTGAAGCTAGTAGTTACTTGGTAGTTGAAAAGCCAATTAAATACAGGATTATAAAGCATTATGCAGTACACAGTTTGATAGGCTTTGGGCCAGCAAGAAGGTTCAACTGGATAAAACACTGGCCGTGGCGGTTGGTGATCTGATCCATTCTACCTGGGACTATGATGGCTTGAGGAAAGAAGCAAGTTGTGCAAGTAAGTTGTCCTCTGACCTCTACATACCCACAGTGCCATGTGTCCCCACATACACATAAACGCACAAAATAAACAAATGAAACATAATGAAAATAAAGAAAAGGAAGACAGCCTAGGGGCTAGAGACAGCTCAGTGATGTGCTTGCTGCAGAAGTGTAAGAACCTGCGTCGGATCCCACATCCACAGGTACAGGGACTTCCACGCAGAATCCCTGTGCTGAGGAGTAATGACAAGGGGATCCCTGGGGCTGCTGGTCAGATAGTCTGAACCCATCACCAATGTCCAGGGCTAATGGGAAGCTGTCTCCAAAATAAGATGACAGGGATTGAGAAGTAAACCTGATGGGTCTTTCTCATGTAGCCCGGGTTGTCCTGAAACTCTCTGTGCAGCTGTGGATGACCTTGAACTCTTGCTCTTCCTGCCTCTGCCTTGAAAGTGCTAGGATTATAGGCCTGGGCCACCATATCCAGCTCAACTTCTTACATTATACATTTCCGTATGGTTTATATGTTTATAGCAAAGATATATAGCAAGACTCTGTCTGTGCCTGTGGAGGCCCAGCATGTACTTAGTTTTCTAAATAAAAATTTGGTTTCTTTGTATGTGTGTGGGTACCTGTCTATGTGTATGTGTGTCTGTTTTTAGGTATGTGTGTCTATGTATCTATCTGTCTATGTGTATGAACACATATACACGATGGTGCCCACATGGAGGTCAGAAAACTTTTGGGAGTCAATTTTCTCCTTCCACCATGTGGGTCCCAGAGATTGATCTCAGTTTGCCAAATGGTGGCAGGTGCCTTTCCCTGCTGAGCCATCCTGCTGGTCCAAGTACTTAGTTTTGTTTGTGTTTCCTGTTTTGGAAGTATATTATTGGGATGGTGGTTGGCTCAATAGTAGAGTGCTTGAATCTGTAACATGTAGTGGGGTTGGGGTGGGGTGTGTGGGGTGGGTGGGGGAGAAGTTGTTTTGTGTGTGGAGGACTGAGGTTCCCACACATGCCCACAAGGTCAGCTGTTTCTGTTTCTCAAATTTTCCATGTATCATTTGTGTTATCCATTTTTGAGTTTGGGGAAGACATGCTAAAATCTCCTCATAATGGTAACAATGGGTTTTGCTTTCTTTGGCCCATGGCATCTACTGATCGTCCCATGTTCAAATGTTTTAGACAAATAGTTAAAATTATCTAGAGGAGAATGACGGAGTTCTTACTTCCCCTGAGTTCAGTTTTAGGAGGAAACATTTAATGAGAGATAAGTACAGTTCTCTCCGTATAAGTTGCAATTTTAATAAGGAGAGCCAAAACCGGAATGTCTACGTTAGCTTCAAAGTGTGCTGAAAGTGACTAAGCTCTCTGCTAGTTCCCCAAATAATCTGTACCCTGCAAAAAACTATGGGAACTGAGAGACATTCACAGAAATGAAAGCACTTTAAAGCTTAAACATTCTAATGAAGTCACTTGCTAGTACAGGAAGCCAGGCCTTTGTGCATGCTAAGCAAGCATTGTGTCGGCCGAGCCACACCCCATCCTATTTCATGTTGTCTATTTCTGATGCTTGAGAGCAAATCCAGGGCCTTTTCCATGCTAGTAAAGAACTGTGCCACTTAGGTGAGCCTCCAACTGCTGACTCAATTTTAGAGCAATAATCCCACCCAGTCAGTTTAGTGAGAAAACCTCTTTCCCTTGATAATATCTGACCATGTCCCACAATTCCCTACCCTCAACGTGTAAGTCCTTGGCCTACACTTGGTAAGAATCCTATTAGTACTGAAACTTGCTCAAGAGCCCATAAGGTCACAGGTGCTTATAGGTCCTAGCAGGGGAACCCGCAGCTGTTGATTTGCAAAACAGACAGAAATGTTGTCAAACTACGAGCATTTTGTTTACACTCATAGGTTGCTCTCCACCTTGGCTGATTGGCGGTCAATGTAGAAATCCATGACTGGTTGAGGTGCCAGAAATTATGTGCCTATTGAGTGTTTGGTTCTAAGTGAGACATCTGTATTAACCCCCATACTGCTCTGGGAATAACTCCGAAGAGCTGAGGATGGGGGTGAGTGACATTTGAATATGGGATGACCATTGTACACACAAACTCAAGCAGCTACAGTCACCTGCACAAAATAAAGCCAGTCGATAATTCCAGCATGTTTGAGGGACAAGCTCATGACACTCTACCACTAGCTGAGGAGCTACTAGCAACTGGCAATTGATGGCTGTGGGGGTTAGGGGAGTGTGTGTGAGAGGAAGCCACTTCTTTTCTTTGGGGTGTGGCTGTTGCTAAGTTACCCATGTTCACCCAGGCAGCACTAATTGGACTCAATGGATTATAGAAAAGGAAGAAAAGAATAAGAGAAGGGAGGAGAGGGAGAAGGAGTCATTCAGCCCATCGTGATGGAGGGTGTGGTGGCACTCATGGTGCCCAGAGCAGCTCCTGACTGTGACAGCAGGAGTGTGCAGTTTGACTTGTTACATTTTGACAGATAAGGAAGAGATAACTCAGGTTGGAAAGAGAAAGGGGAAGGAGGATGACAAGGAGGAGATGGTGGTGATTGCGAAAATGTGAGGGATGTATGTCCAAGATATCCAGGGGAAGGAATAGGAGAGAGGAGCTGGAGGAGCAAATAATCAACACACACACACACACACACACACACACACACACACACACACACACACACCTAACAAGAAAAAATAGAAGAAAAAAAAAAGAATTCAATCAAATCAGTTTACCACGAATGTACATAGAAGTGTGATCTTGGTAATTTTCCAAACCAGGCATGGTGGAGCACATTTGCACACTCAGCATTAGGGAGATGGCAGAGGGTGGGAGAAGAATTAGAAGTTTGAAGTCATTTTAGCTACATAGTGAATTCAAGGCCAGTCTTGCATACATGAAACCCTACATAAAAATTTCATTCACTGACCCTCATTATGGTTTTAGTGTATTTAGAGTTGAAATCAGTTTTCCGGAATCTCGCTTCTTTACTGCAGTAGTATTGAGTACAATATATATAATGCATCATTAATTCAATACAAGTTGCTTTTGTGTTTGAATACATAACTATATATATATTGGTGTGTAGTATGTGCAGATGTGTAAGCATGTTTGTGTGTGGAGTGCAGGGCTGTGTGTACATGTGTGGAGACCAGTGGTCAACCTTGAGTGCAATTCCTCAGGACCTATCTACCTGGAACCTGGGTTCCACGATTAGGCTACACTGACTTGTCAACAAGTCTCAGGTAACCTCCACTCTCTGCTCCCCCAAGAACTGGGGTCATAATTTGTTGCTGGAGCTTTTCTTGTCCCTCCAGGTCCTGCAGCTGCTGCAGATGCTTACATTAATTATTAAACTGTTACCCACTAACTAGGGCTTCTTATTGGCTAGCTCTGTCTTAATTATTAACCCATAACTACTAATCTTCCTATCCTCCTAGTCTCCACATGGCGACTCCTTTTGGCGGGCTCCCTCTGCCTATCTTTCCCAGAATTCTCCTTGCCCTAGTCCCACCTATCTTCCTGCTTCATTGGCCAGACAGTGTTTTATTCATTAACCAATAAGAGAAACATATATACAGAAGGACATCCCCCCATCAACAATTCTTCACGGATGCTGGGGATTCAGCTCAGGTCCTCATGCTGCAAGCCTTTTAGAGATATGGCTCTATCTTCAAGCCCCCTTTCTTCTTGTTTTATGGTCTCACTCTTCAGTCAGGGATAGTCCGGATGCACTGTGTATCTCAGGGTCACCTGAACCTGAGGCAATCTTCTGGCTCCAGCTTCCAGAGTGCTGGAATTATAGTTTTTGAACGGCTCCATGAG